GAAAAAAAACCGGGCTTTGTTTTAAAAAAAAAAAAAAAAAAGGTAAAAAGGAAATATTACCCAAAAAAAAAGGAAAACAGAAGCAGGGAGAGACAGGAACTGAGAGACAGAGAAGGCTGGGGGTTCAGAGGGGGGCTCCCTACCACTAGCTCATTTGTTGGAGGCTGAATTATTAGTAGAAAACCTTCATTCCCTTAAAAATCTAGTTCACAGTAGCCATGTGGAACCTTGTCCTGAAGGCCCGTGGCTTCTTCAAGACAGTTGGATTTTCATATTTGCTTCTTGTATTCTGTCTGCTGTGATATTTCTGTCATGTGGCTTTTGGTAAACTCCATTATATGCTCCTGGCAAGATTCATATGTAACTTAACTTTTATAATTTGGACAGCTTATCACGTACTTTTTTCATGGCAAGATTCATTCTAGCTAGTGGGGCATGAGCTTTATTTACTCTGCTGCCAGTATTTCCTCAGTTCTTGCCAAGTAAGCAGTGTTTCTCAAGTTTCCTTCCACTTCAGGGTCAGTAGTTCATGATCCGTTAAGGTTCCTGGATCCTGGAGTACAGTAGTATTTATAAATTATGCCCCTCTCCCCAAATGGTTTAAAAACAGAAAATCTTTAAAAGTTTACTTCAAGTTCAAGCATAGATAGGCATTAGGAAGCACTGCTGTGTGTTTCTGTAAGCCATATGAGAAGGTTTGTGCTGGGTCCCCACACAGTACTTAATAGCTGGTCATAGGGCTGGGGAAAAGATCACTGCATGTTATGGGTTGATCTTTCTTTCTCTTTCATGAATGAAATACACTTTTCCTAAACCAGTTTTAATCTGGTTTACTTTATAGCATAGTGTTTACAAAAGATTTTACAGAACATTACATTTTAGATTTTCCTTTTTAATTAGGTAAAGGAGGTAAAAACAGGCGCAGGGGTAAAAATGAGAATGAATCTGAAAAAAGAGAGTTGGTGTTTAAAGAAGATGGACAAGGTAAGGCCTATTTTTTTTTTTCCCCTACAGGGTATGTGTACTCACATGGCGAAAGAGAGAGAATGATAGGGAGTGGTAAAATGACAAATCATCCTCTTGGGGTTGGCCACACTGCAGTCGTTTCTTTTGGGATTTGGGGCAGGCATGTACCTAGGGGTGCCATCTCATTTGGTACTCAAACTGTAGTTAGCTGTGTAGGAATCAAGATCTTTGGGACCAGCAGCTGGCGTAATGGCTATGTCACTGGACTCCCACGTAGTCGACTGTGGTTCCGGACCTGGTGGCTTAAACTCACGCCAGGCACGTGTGCATGCGTGCCCAAGATCTCGAGAGGAGAATGGAGGAGAAGGGATTGTGGCGAGGCCATCTCCCCTAGGGGGTGATTTCTTGTTTTCTATTGTTCTGTCCGCCTGGCGAGCGCACGTGCCCTATAACAAAATCCTCTCAAACAACAACAACAAAAAATTCAAAACACAGCAAGCTTGAAATGAGAAATAAACTCATGTGCTCTTTACATAAGGTTTACCATTTTAACCTTTGTCATTTGTTTATATTTACATATATGTTTGTATATATATTTTTCTAATCACTTTTCATTTTTGTACAGATATCTAGTTAGATAAAATTGTACACTTTTAATATGAAGGGTACTTTAAAAAGCTTGTGGAAAGTGTATGTTACTTAACTTCATATATTAAAAAATATTTTGCCCCAGGATAAACTTATTTCAATTACATTTTTCCACAAACTTTTTGAATATGATAAAGAACTTTCCTATTTGTAACTAGATTAAAATTTTAGAAAAATTCTGTTATTTAGGCTACTAAATAACATTGTCTGAATGAATTCATTTCTGCATAGGTAGCCACTCACTATATGTGACTACTTATAGATAAATTTAAATTAAAACTACAGTTAATGATTACTTTGTAGCATATAGTGATCCTGTTCATAAGGAAAAGTTTCCTTAAATATTGCTGATTTAAAAAAAAAAGATTGCTAATTTAATATGAATCAATGTTCAAATTTCCTTAGGTATTTTAATTTTATCAGTTTTTTTGTATAGAATAATTGCCAGTCATTTATATTGTAAATGAAAGTCACTGAAAAGTCAACATCTTAAATGATATGAAAACACATTTTCTGGCTAAAGACATTTAGTTTCCTAGCCTTCATCTTCCTCTTTTCTATTAGATATTAATTATTTGGAGGGGAGGGCACCAATGTTTTTACCTTCTTATTTTTTTCTCATGTTGATATTGTGCTGACTGGTAACTAGGCTCAGTACCTAGGATAAATGTGTTCACTGAATGCAATCCCCATATGTAGCTATTCAAATTTATTTCTTAATAGAAATACAAATTATATCTTTTAGATTAATCTTGGTGAAAAACTTTAGGTAGCGTAAGGATTTTATAATTGTCTATTTCATTCTCCTTGTGCCTCTCCAGGTTTGTCATTTAGTTCTAGAAGAAACTGTATCATGGTGGCTCATGGACATATTCATAACAGTTTTTTCTTGCAGCACTAGAATTACAACACTTCTTGTAAATTCAACATTTGGGGCTGGCTTCTTGACCTGGTGATTAAGAGACTTGAATTTCATATGGCTGAATACATGGTTCAAATCCCAGACCTGGTGGTTTGAGATAAATACCACATACATGTACTAGTGTGGTACAGAATGGAGAAGAAGGGATTTCAACATAGTCATGCCTCATGAGGGTGATGGTTTTTCTCTGTGTATACTCTTTCTCTGTCTTATCTCTCTCTGGCTAGTGTATGTACCTTCTGATAATTTTTTAAATTTTTTACTTTTTCTTAGGAAAATCTTTTAATGGGGGGTAACTTTAGAGTATTCTAAAGTAAGCAGAAGTATTAGTGATTAAGGTGTTAATTGTCTGTCAATTTTCTGAGGAAAAGGAATACTAATACCCAAATCTGAAATAGATTGGACTGAAGTCCAAATCAGGATAATAGAATACATTATGAGGTGAATTACCCATATGTTTACAAGTAGAATAATAGTTATGACTAACTCAAAATGAGTAGGTAATTATTGGTAATAACAGAGACAGCATGTCATGAAAATGGTTATTTTTGAACCTGGACAGATTGATTGACTTAGGCTTCTATTTACTTTAGACATAAAGAGGCAAAAGTATGTAAGTATACTAAGGGGCCACCAGGCAGTAAGATAATTAAGGCACTGAACTTGCATATGGTCAACCATGATCAATTACTGGACCTGAAGTTTTTTTTTTTAATTTTTTTCTTTTGGAGAGGTTTTTGGTATATGGCCTATGCACTTGCCAGAAAGACAGAGAAACAGAAAGCGAGAAATCACCCCCCAGGAGGGATGGTCACACCACAATCTCTTCTCCTCCATTCTCCTCTCAGGATCTTGGGCATGCATACACATACATGAGTTTGAGCCACCAGGTCTGGGACTTGAACCACAGTTGACTACATGGGAGTCCAGCAACATAGCTATTATGCTAACTGCTGGTCTCTGGACCTGAAGGTTTTAAAATGCTTGACACGTGTATGTGTGCCCAAAATCTAGTGAGAAGAATGGAAGAGAAGAGATTGTGGAGTGACAATTTCCCATGGAAGTGGACATTTCTCATGTTTCCTCCCAGTCTCTCTTTTTGGCCCTCTTTCTTTCATGTGTTGTATGGCAAGAACCTTAAATAAGTAAATAAATAAAGTATATAAGTATACCTAGGAGAGGTTGTAAAAGCAACTGATAACAAGATCTGTGGTTATAGATAAAATTAGAAACATCACATCATAAGAAGGTTCTCAGGATAAATTACTAAGACTTTTCTTCTTCAAGTCTTAGTCTTTAAAAATAATATAGTTTGGTCTAAATTTGGAGACCAAATAAAAATGAAGCTTTTATGAACAGAGAGCTAAATATCAATATGACATTACTGTATTTTAACAAATATCAAACAATATCTCATACACACTCTTTTTCTTTCTCAGAGTATGCTCAGGTAATCAAAATGTTGGGAAATGGACGATTAGAGGCAATGTGTTTTGATGGTGTAAAGAGGCTTTGTCATATCAGAGGAAAACTGAGAAAAAAGGTATGCGTATAGCTTTCTCTTAATTTTAAAATTTGTTATAAACATAACTCTGCTGGGACCAGCAGATGGCATACTGGTTATATCTCTGGGCTACAACATTGTTGACTGTAGATTGAGTCCTGGACCTGACCACCTAAAATTCATGCCGGGCATGTGTGTATGCATGCCCGAGATTCTGAGAGGAGTATGGAGGAGTGGCCATCAGTCCTGAGGTGTGATTTCTTGCTTTCTCTGTCTCCATCGAGCACACATGCCCTAAAGCAGAAATCTTTCTAGAAATCTTTCTAGTAATACTGCTTTAGATAAGAAAAGACTAAATGGTTCATTTTTATATGTCATTCCCTTTGATTGCGGAGCAGTATTCCACTATCTGTGTGTGTGTGTGTGTGTGTGTGTGTGTTAAGGGACATTGGTTTATTTTTTTAATTTTTATTTTTGGGAGGACCGTTACATATAAAACTGCTATAAACATTAATATGTTAGCGTTTGTATGGATATATACTTTTATTTCTATTGAGTTCCTAGAAAGAGAATGGCTTGTCATACAGCATATACACCCTCTGGCAAATTGATTCGTTTTTGTGATTTTTTTCCTAAAAGATTTTAACAGAACAGTGATTTACATCACAATGTAAATAGAAAGACATTGATGATAACTTTTAATATTTAGTTTAAATTTTTTTTTATTATTATTTTCATTTGACCAGAGAGAAACAGAGAGAGGGAAAGTGATAAAAACAAGCTACCAGGTATGGTACTCGAACTGTGGATAGCCATATCTCCAGCACCTTAATCACCACACTACCTGCCTGCCCCAGTAGATTTCTTTAAAGAACCATTTGTTTTCACTCTTACTGTACTCCTTCTGGAAATGTTTATTCTGTAAGTTATGTTGAGAAAACAGTTATATTGAATCTATAAAGCAGGTGATCTGGACGTAATCAAATGTCAGTGCTATGAAAAAAGAAACAAAATTCTTCTAGGTTAAAAACAACTAAAGGGACTGATAATGCAGTACATGTTCCTTAATTAACCAGATTTTGGATTAGAGGAATATTAATAAATATTATCAGGGAAATTTTGTCCATGTTAGTTAACATATTCCTTGTCATAACCCATCAGGAAGATTTGTAAGTCATTGGTTAAGTTTGTTCAAATCTGATTTCATAATTTAAGAAATTTCTTGGAGGGGGCATCATCTGTTCTCTTTTTCAAATTAATGGAACTTTTTGGGACAGTCTCAGTCCATCTGAGCCACTATAAAAAAAAAAAAAAACATTGGAACCAGCAGTTAGCATATTGGCTATGTCACTGGACTCCCACGTAGTCGACCACGGTTTGAGTCCTGGACCCGGTGGCTTAAACTCACGCCGGGTGCGTGTGCATGTGTGCGTGCCCAAGATCCCTAGAGGAGAATGGAGGAGAAGGGATTGTGACGTGACCATTCCCCCTGGGGGTGATTTCTCACTTTCTGTCTCTCTGTCTCTGTCTGGCTGGCGAGTGCACGTGCCCTATAGCAAAAACTTCTCAAAAAAAAAAGAAAAAAAAAAATAACAATTGGCTGGATGACTTATAAAGACAGAAATTTCTCACAGTCTGGAGACTGGAAAAATGTAAGCTCAAGATACATTTGGTGTCTGCTGAGGGTCCATTTCCTGATTAAAAGATGACAGTACTTACTGAGTCCATTATATTAGAAGGGATGAGTAAGAGCCCTTAATTCTCTTGAATAAGGGCACTAATTCATTTATGAGGACTGTTTTTATGACCAAATCACTTTCCAACGTCTCCGTCTTTTAATACTTTTTTTTAGTATAGGATTTCCTTTTTAAGTTACCCTATCCTGTACACTTGTCAGAGACAGAAAACCTTGTAAGAAAAGAGAAACCATCCCCATATGGGGTGTGGATGTACTCCAGTCCCTTCTGCATTCCCTTTCCACTTTTCATCCTGTTGGGACTCTAGACATATACACACATGGACCTGGCATATTTTTCAAGCCATTGACACTGGGATTTGAACTGTGGTTGTTCTTGGGAACTGACTTATTTAACAAGTAGTTATGGAGAGCCCAGCAGGTAGGATACTGGTTAAGATGAAGGACTCCCACATGGTTCAAGTCCTGGTTCTGCCAGCTTGAAATTCATGCTGGACATGTGTGTGTACATGTTCAAAATCCCTTAGAGGAGGGACCAGCAGGTAGCATAATGGTATGTCACTGGACTCCCATGTATTCGACTATGGTTTGCATACCAGACCCAGTAGCTTAAAACTCATGCCGGACAAGTGTACGAGCATGCCCAGGATCCCAAGAGGAGAATGGAGGAGAAGGGATTGCGGCATGGCCATTCCCCTTGGGGGGGGGGGTGATTTGTCGCTTTCTATCTGGCGAGAGCCGCCAGGCGCATGTGCATGCGTGCCCAAGATCCCGAGAGGAGAATGGAGGAGAAGAGATGGCAATGTGACCATCTCGCTTGTGGAGTGATTTTTTTCCTTCTCATTGTGTTTGTCAGTCTCTCTCTGCTGAGAGCATGCATCCTATGGCAAAAAAACTTAAAAAAAAAAAAGTAGAAGTGAAGTCAGTTGGGGTTAGTATTTTAAGGTATATTTTGGGAAAACGGACATTCAGACAATTGTAGGGACTGTATATATAGATTAGTTGCAGAGTGGGGCTATGTTTGGATAGATGGTTAATTTCTTATGAATAGTTTTGCGTAATTATATATCTCCAGAATGGTTTCTGATTGAATGTCTTATTTTTCATAACAAATGATCATTCTTCTGGAATTTTAAATTTATGAGTAGTTGAAATAAAATGGTCTTTTTTTTTTTTGAGAGGTTTTTGCTATAGCGCACCTGCCCTCACCAGAAAGACAGAGAGAGACAAAAAGTAAGAAATCACCGTCTCCCGGAGGAGGGGATGGCCATGCCGCAATCCCTTCCATTCTCCTCTTAGGATTGTGGGCACACACGCACTTGCGGCATGAGTTTAAGTCACCAGGTCCAGGACTCAAACTGTGGTTGACTACATGGGAGTCCAGCAACATAACCATTATGCCAACTGCAGGTCTGAAAATGGCCTAATTTATAACATTCTAAGTTAGAAACCGAACAAACTCAGTTTTGTGCCATAATTTTTCTTAATGTATCTTAATTATGTGCTCCATAAAAGGAAAATACAGTACAGAATCTACTTACATATGATAATTTTTCTAATTTCTTTTAAAAAAAATACTTATTTTATGAGAAAGAGAGACTTAAGTGCTGGTATGGTGTCTTTTCATGTCATCATGCCACAAGTCTTCCAGCCAGCTAGGACCATGGGCACACCTGCAGGCACAACAATCCAGAATAGGTCATTCCTTTATGTTTGTAATATTGCACAGTAACTCCCAATTGCCTGTGCCACTGCTGCTGAGCCCTTTAATTTTTCAGAGATAACTTCCTCACAAGAGAGGAATATGAACTTGTTGGAGAAAGTCATAAGATATTTTCTGTTTTTCTTTGCACACATGCACATCCCACTAGTCTTTTGTAGGATAACTCATTTAATATTGCACTTTATTCCTATTTTTATTTTTAAATAATATGCAGTAAATTTTTGTTTTACAGGTTTGGATAAATACTTCAGACATAATATTGATTGGTCTGCGAAAATATCAGGTAAATATTATATTTAACTTAATAAACTGTCTTCTTATAGTTTTTTTTAACTAATATTTTAAAAGACATAGTATTAACACCTTTGACCAGTTTCAGCTCAGTTTGTCATCTATGTATTTGGCCCTGAACATTTACTTTTTTTTTTTTTTTTGGAGAGGTTTTCGTTATAGGGTGCGTGTGCCCACCAGATGGACAGTGAGAGACATAGAGACAGAAAGCAAGAAATCACCCCCCAGGGGGGATGGTCACGTTGCAGTCCCTTCTCGTCCATTCTTTTCTCAGGATCTTGGGCACGTGTGCATGCCCGACGTGAGTTTTAAGCCACCGGGTCCGGGACACGAACCTCAGTCTACTACATGGGAGTCCAGGGACATAGCCATTATGCTAACTGCTGGTTCCCGGCCCTGAACATTTACTGAGAACCTTTTGTTTTGTTTTGTTTTTTGTTTCTTTTTTTATTTTTCTTTTTTTAATATGTATTACAATTTATGATTTACGTATAGTCATTATAAATTTTTAAAATTTATTCTAAACATTCAATAACTGTATATCACCACAGCTTGTAAAATGAATTCTCCCAACATGAATACACTGCACACCAGTCCAGTTAAAGATATTGTACATGTTATCATCAACACACAATCCTTCATTACTGTGCCCCTTAAATGTCTTGCCTCTCTATTTTCTTCATGATTCTCTCCTTCTCACCCTTCTCCCACACTATCTCTAGTATCCACAACCATTTCCCCTGTTTTTGTATTCTCTGATCTTTCAGTTTTCACCATAGAGTGCAGACATTTGGTATATATTAAGTGGAATATACATCATCTCTCTTCAAAACCTGACTTGCTTCACTCAGCAGTGAATCTTCTGTATTTGTCCACTTTCTATCAAATGCCAGGGTCTTCTTGTTTTTTATGACTGAGTAGTATCACGTAGGTTTTTGCCACAGAGGGCATGTGCCTGTCAGAGAAAAATAGAAGTAAAGGAAAGGGGAGAGGAAAGGAAACCGGTGAAAAGGAGAGGAGAGGGGAGAGGGAAGAAGGGAAGAGGATAGGAAAGGAATGAATCAACCCCTCCCCCACCCTGGATAACCCGCTTGTTTTCAGACTAGAATTTTTCTAAATCAGAGTAATTTTCACAGTTTATTAATGGTACCTGTGTTTTGTAGATAGACTGGTTCATCATTTTTGTTGTTATTGTTTCTTACCTTTCGTTTATTTATTTCTGAAAAGAGAGGGTACACTTGACCATGATCTTTGTTTCCCTAGCCTTCTAGCCAGCCAAATTAACAGGCACCAGTAGGCATGCCTTACAACTTTACCTGGGATCCAAATCTTAGCTACCTGTTGGATTTCATTATTGTACAGCAACTGCTTACCACCTGTGCTACAATGGCTTTGGCTCAACATTGTTTTTTATATTACATGTGAGATAAGACAAATATCTGTGTTTGTATAAATATCACAGACTGTTAGGTTTTATTTTACTTAATAACCAACACAATAGACAAATATAGGCATTTTGCTAGGTTTTCTAAGGATGATTTCCAAATGCTAATCTATGAATTAGTATTGGTGTTAGATGACACTTTTAAGTGTTCAGTATAAATTAAAAAATACGCAAATTAGTATTTTTTTTTTTTTTGAGAGGTTTTTTCACTATAAGGCGCATGCACTCGCCAGACAGACAGAGAGAGACATAGAGAAAGAAAGCGAGAAATCACCCCCTGGGGGGGGGGGTCACACTGCAGTCCCTTCTCCTCCATTCTCCTCTCGGGATCTTGGGGATGCATTCACACGCGCCCGGCGTGAGTTTTAAGCCACCGGATCTGGGATGCGAACCGTGGTCGACTACGTGGGAGTCCAGCGACATAGCCATTACGCTAACTGCTGGTTCCCATTTATTTTTATTTTTTAATGACTGAGATTTTTTCCTATTTTGCTAAGGAGTACATATGCTCACCAGAGGAATAGAAAGAGGGAAAAAGAAAATTCAAGGATGATGGCTATACTGCAACTTTTTCTCCACTGTTCTTGGGATTTGAGGCATGACAAGTTTTTCATATCATTGAGGTCAGGACTTGAAACTCAGTCACCTGTGTGATCCACCTTAACTGCCATACCATTGACTGGATCAGAGGTGCGGTGTTTCTCATGAAGCTAAATTGTTTTCTTTTTTCTTTTTTTTCTTTTTTTTGAAGAGGTTTTTTGCTATAGGGCACATGTGCTTGCCAAAAAGACAGAGACAGAAACAGAAAGCAAGAAATCATGCCCCCCAGGAGGCTGGCCACACCGCAATCCCTTCTCCTCCGATCTTAGGCACACACACACACACCCAGCGTGAGTTTAAGCCACCATGTCCAGTACTCAAACTACGGTTGAATACATGGGAGTCAAGTGACATAGCTATTATGCTAACTGCTGGTTTCAAAGCTAAATTGTTTTTTTAAAAAAAAAAATTCTTTTTTTTTTTTTAATACTCAGTATGTCTTACATGCTTACCTGAGAGAGTGAGAGAGACTGAGAAAGAACGTAAGAAAGCACCCCTCTAGAGGGGATAACCATGCCATAATTTCTCTTCCATTTCTCCTTTCAGGATTTTGGGAATGCATACACACATGCCAGAATGTTTTTCAAGCCACCAGGTCTAGGACTTGAACTATGCAGTTGGCCATGTGGGATCCAGCAGAGATAGCCATGCTATAATCCTTTCTTTACCATTTCTTCTTTTAGGATTTTTGAGTATGCAAGTATACATACCAGCCTGTTTTCAAAATTCTAGCCTAGGAAGCCACTGCTTTAGAAGATATAGTTGAATAAGTCAAATGTCATTCTCCAGAAGTTTGTAGTCTGGCATTAGAAAGAAAGTTAATGTATGTACATGGTTGTTAGGTGGTTAATTCTAGTAATTGCTAGGTAGTTCTCTAAGGAATTATGTTTTATAGGAGTGCAAACATTTTTCTGCACCCTTCAGTGGGTAGGTTGTTAGTTTTTAGTGGCTACTAAAACTGGAATGAGGGTCACAGGAAATAATGCAACAAAACACCCCAGAGATTATTCTTACCTGAATTAATTCATTTTTCTTAAGCAAACACTCCTCAGTTTATTCTGTGTATATGATTAATTTCCAGAATTGACAGAATTGATTTTTGTCAATTTTTTGTCATCTTCCTCTTTGCTTTTATGAAGGAGCAAATTTTAGAAGGTACTTTTTCTGTCAGTGATATTGTTACACTATACTTTGTGTCTCTTTTTATAAATATTTTTATATTCTGAAATAAAAGTTATTATCTATGTTTCTATATTTTTATGTTCTTTATCTGCATGGTTACATGAAATACTTGTTTTGTATGTACTTTATACTCTGGTTTATTTCACATCACTGTTGTATTAGTCTGGTCATTTCAGTTGCTTTGCTGTGGATCTTTCTTGGATTAATTTTAGGCCATTGACTTAAACTCTCTCCCCACACTCCCTAAGATAAATTAGTCTCTAAAGTGGGTATATGTGATCATTTTAGAACATTCAGAAATGTTTACATCATAAGTAACCACCCAAAAGAGCTTTAAAAATACACATTCTTGGGGCTAGCAGGTGGCATGGTGGTTAAGGTGTTGAACTCCTGCATGACTGATTGCAGTTTCAGTCCTTGACCTATCAACTTGAAAATCTCTCCAGGGATGTGTACATATGTGTCCAGAATTCCAGAAGGAGAAGGAAAGAGAAAGGATTGTAGTATGGCTATCCCCTGGGGAAGGGGGGGAATTCACTTTCTCTGTCTGCAGCAAGCATATGTGCCCCATGGCAGAGACCTTAAAAAAAAATAGATTTTTATCTAGCTTAGGATGCGTAGTTTGTAGCATACTGCATTGCTGAAAATCATATGGCCACCTGTAGGTTTGGATCTCAGGATCAGCCTGAAAGCCTTCAGATCATAAGATCCTAAGGAAGCCAGAGGTGCTAGGGTAAAGGTTTTATGATAATGAAATTCTATCAAGGATGCTTTCTCTCTCACTCTATTCTCCCGTCTCTCCCTCCCTCATTTTCATTGCATATGCTTTCTTTTGAAATAAATTACTGATTTTTGAACTATTCTATCTTCAGAAAGTAGTTATCTATTCTTAGTGTTACATAGCTAATTTGGCTAGATAATTTGTCCTAAGAACTAAATGATAATATAAAAGGTATATTGCTTTACCTGGGTCATTATTTTGAGTGTGAAATTGCAGTGTTCTAACTAAAGTATTGATAATTTACACTGTAACTTTTTTCTTTTCACATTTACATTTTTTTTATTTCAAAAAAATTTTCAGTTTTAGCCATCGGGGTATGTGCACTTGTCAGACGCAGGGGAGAGAAAGTGAGAAGTCATTCCTTAGAGGTCAGTGGCCAACCTGTATAATCCCTTCTCTATTTTCCTTTTGAAATTTTGACCATATAGGTACATGCACCTATGTGTTATTTTCAAGCTGCTACGTTCAGGACTCAAATTGCAGTCAGCCAAATGGGAGTCTAGCACCTTGACCAACATTCTACCTCCTGGCCCTTTCAAGAGACTTCTAATGAAAAGGCAGCAGTCATAGGTTATTTAATGGGTTGTATATCTTAAGAAATAACATTATTAGATGACTTCATCATTGTGTGACTGTTATAGCATGTACTTAAACAGACTTGTATAACATAGCCTATATACTTCAACTATATGATATATCTTGTTACTTCTAGGCAACTTATATATACAACACATCATTGTATGAATACTGTATTACACTGAATACTAAATATAACTGATTATAGCATAAAAAGTATTTGTGTATCTAGCCATCAATAAAAAGTTAACCTTTGCTTACTGTAACTTTAATCCTGTAAACTTAAAATTTCTCTTATAATACTTAGCTCAAGTAATAAAAATAGTGTCTACTTAAAAATACTTATTTCTCTTAATCTTTTTTATTTAAAGCAGGTTGTTAAAACTTTTAGATTATTTTGCAAAAATACAAACATACATTAGTCTAGGTCTATGCATGATCAGCATCATTGATATCATTGTTTTCCTTATCTCCATCTTGTCCCCCTGTAAGGCCATGATGAACAGTTATATCAAGGACAAAACAAAATGATGCAGTTAGAGACTCAGTAAATATTAGATATATGAGATTGCTATTAGGATGCATGGGCACACTATAGTAACTTTTTGGAAAAATGTAAGTACTAAGTACACACTAATAAAAGAAAAACATAGGGAATACACAAACTAGGTACATATTATAAAGTATTATTTATTATATGTACTAGGATGTTAGGAAAGTCATGATGTATTTTTCTATGTTCTTCTATGCAAAAATGTGGCATAATTTTCTTGACAACCAATAATTGTATATTTCAGTAGTTACTTTTATATAACTGGTGGTCCAGTAAGTTTATGTATATTGTCATCACCATGAAGATGAGTAATGCATAATGCTATAAGATGGCTATAGTGTTATTGGATCATTGCAATCTCACAGGAGTAATGTCCTGTGTACAATCTTTGATCATGGCATCCTTATTTTACACTTGATGTACTAAATAAAGATTAGATTTGCCTTTTTGTTTGTTTGTTTGCTTCTCTTTTTTTTTTTTTTTTTTTTTTTTTCCCATAAGGCACATGCCTTTGCTAGAGCACATGCACTTGCTGGAGAGAGACCTAGATAGAATGAAGAAGTGATAAATCACACCTGCCCCAGGAGGGATTGTGACCCTACAACAATCTCTTCTTCACCCTCCTCTTGGGATTCTCGGCATGCATGCACACATCTAACATGATCTTCAAGCCTCCAGGTCTCGGCCTTAAACCAGTGTCAGCCACATGGCAGACCCATCCTTTAACCATTATTGCACCTGCTGGTTTCTTCCTTCTTACTTTTGTAAAACCATGGATTTTTTTTTTTTAATAGAGGTTAGCAGGTATGTGAAGAAAATCAGGAGAGTTTTGTAACTGAACAGTGAGTGAGTTTTTTTCTTAATGTTTGTATTTAAAAGTAATTTGTGGAATAGATGATGTTTTGGTATTAACCAGTTTTAAAAGTTATGTATTGATTTTTAAGGATAACAAAGCAGATGTAATATTAAAGTACAATGCAGATGAGGCTAGAAGTCTGAAGGCATATGGTGAGCTTCCAGAACATGGTAAGGATAAGTATTTATGTTACTCTGTCATATACTATTTGTTGGTGACTTTTTGAAAGCATTTTGATAGAATTGTGTGTATTTCACAAATTGAGTTTGTACTTCTACAGTTTTAAGTTATGCCTGTACTTCTTTATACTAATAATTTAGGAAAGGTCAGTGGAATGCCTGATTATTTTGGTGGAACTTCTGGAGGCTCTGGATTTGTATATAATATGTATTAAAGAAAGATATCCATCACAGTTTTTTTCTGTTAAATCTCAAGAGATTGGTTATTTTCATCCATGTCACATTTACAATAATAATGTTGATATTATGAAACAATTATAATACTGATATTGGTTTTTATGGAAAATAATTTTTTGATCTTTTTAGCAAAGATGCATTTTAGGATTTTCTTAAAACTTATTTCATTAAAAACAAACATAATGCAATCTCACTGCAGAAAACTTAAGTCCCTATAACACTGCCAAAGAGGAAAATGCACTGATTTCTAAGGTCTAATAGTTTACTTCATAGTTATTTTAGTTTTTATAATTCCCCTGTTTTTGTCATGAAAATAATAAAATATTTACATAAACAGATCCAGAGGAAATTACTGATACTGTTAATTTTCTTTGTGCAATAATTAGGCAGCAGTTAGGAAGATTTTTATCTTGAGAATGAATATATCAAATTAAGTAAATAATAATTTTTAAAAAACTGGGGACCAGCAGGTGGCGTGTGGTGGTTAAGGTGCTGGACATTCCCACATGGCCAACCACGATTCCAGTCCGGGATCTGGCGGCTTTCTCTCTCCCTTTCCCTCTCTCTCTTCCTCTGTGTGTGTCTCTCTGGTCAAATTAAAATAAATGAATGAATAAACTAAATAATTAAAAAACGATTTATATCTTGAAATAAAACATTAATTGAATTTTATAGTTCAGTATGTTGTTTCAGAACCATTTTTTTTAGTGAACAATTCATTTTAACTTGTTAATTGTGTATATATTTACATTGTCTTTAGCTAAGATCAATGAAACAGATACATTTGGTCCTGGGGATGATGATGAAATCCAGTTTGATGATATTGGAGATGATGATGAAGATATCTTTGATGTAAGTAGATTACCTTTATAGGTTTTTGTTTGTTCAAATTATCTACAGAGAAATTAGCCCTTTCCTCTATAAACTTTCTTTAATCTAAGAATGTTAAATATTTGAGAGTATTTGGTCTATGAATTTAAATAGTTAGTATTATTTAGAAACCAGCATGTTGAACTTTGTAAATTGAGATACTGCATTTTTAGTATTTCTTCCTTCAGAAATTAATATTAGCTTTGGGTGTACATATAGTTGTAAAATATTTAAATAACAATATCCAGAGATAGCTACTAAGAAGTATTAGGGATAGCAATCTTGAGAGCTTACCTTCTCTAAAATGTTAGTATTTTAAAAGAAGAATGTGCTTGTTTTAATCAGCTTACAGCATTGATAAGGCAACATACTATAAAAGTGTTGTTAAAATCAAGGGTTGTTACTAAGATATATAAAGGTTTACATATTATCTTGTCAGGTATTATTATTGCCTAAAGCCTAACTCCCAACTGGGAGTTGAAGTATACTTACATTGTGGAAATAGGCCTTTTATCCTATTAATAAAAGTGAAACTCACAAGAGTAATAAATGTCTCATTGCTCTCCCTTGTCAGCTAGTATATTTAAATAAAACTTACCTTTCATTTCTCTGTTATTTATCTCTCTATATATGTTATTAAAAAGTAATTGAAATGCTGTATCTTACACTGTAGCTGAACTGACCTTTTTATCTTTCTGTAATAAAAATGAAGTTAAAAGCCCTCCCAAATAATGACGGTAAAATGATATTTTAGAATATATAAGAAATTATACCTAAGAGATTTGTGCTGCACAATTTGAAAGCTTTAAAAATCACAAAGGACAATCTTTAGAAGGTCTAAGTTGGGGATAAATGACCCTGATGCTCATATCCCATTGGAAACTATTGTTCTAGGATAGGAATTATCAAATCTTTTATTCTTCACCAACTTTATTGAGAGCATTATCAAACTGTCCAGAGAAGTGGGGGAATTTTAAATTTAAGAAAACATCTGTATATCCAGCTCCAAGATTCTATGATTTATGTTTTTTTCTAACTTGATATCTCATACCCCTCCTCTTTTCATCTCTCAGTCTACATGACATGTAAATACATTTCCAAAAAACTGAAATTACTTACATCATGAATTGAGGAATATTATGTTCATGTATTTACTTTATGCATTTATAAAATTTTAAATTCTTTTGCATTTAAAAGTTTTTAAACATATAATAGTACTATAATGAACATTTTAAAACATACTCAGAAATAGAAAATAAAATGTTGAGAAATAGAAATTTTATTCTAATATATTTTTATTTGTCAGTAATTTTGTACAGTTATCAGAGATAGACAGTAAGAGAGAGAAAAGGATGGAAAAATCTAGCTCCAAGAGAGTATGAACCATAGTCTCTTCTCCATTTCTTCATCCTGTGGGGATTTTGGACTTGCTAAAATATGTACAGGGCATGTTTTTCAAACCATCAGGTTCAGAATTTCAACCACAGTTGGCCATATGGAGTCTGTTTCTCTTAAGCAAAAAATTTAACTGCAGTCAACCATGTGGGATCTGTCTTAACCACTTGGCCACCAGGCCAACCCAGAACCCTTAATTTTCTAGAGAAACATTCAACCATAGCTTAGGTTGAAATGTCCGGATCTGTTCTTAAACCACAACACAAAAGACTTCAGGGTCTTCGTACAGAAAATAGTGGAAATTCTTACTTTAAATTGCCAAAGAATCAGTCTTTCTTCTTTCGTTCTTTTAAATTGCCAAAGAATGAGTGTTTCTTCTTGCGCTCTTTTTTTCATGAACACTCACATCCACCAATAATTTCTGAATTCTTTGCCAACACTTTCTTTGGCTCCAGCCCTGGTAGGTAGGTAGGAAAAATGGTGGTGAAGAGAATAGCTATTAAAGACATTTGTGTTTGTAGGAGTTTTTTTTTTGCTTATTATTTTAGAACCATATGTAATTTTTCTTGAAGATTTACATATGTTCTAATTATTCCTGTTACTAAATTTGCACAGAGAAAGTAATTTGGTTAGGATAATACTGTCTCTTTTTATTTTTCCTAGGTTTTGCCATAGGGTACGTGTGCTCACCAGAGAGTCAGATAAAGAGAGAAAAATAGTGAAAAGTCATCCCTGAGAAAGGATGGCCATGCCACAATGCTTTCTCTGTTCTCCTGGGATTTTTTGGCATGTACATACATACATGCACCTGGCATGAGTTTCAAGCTGCCTGGTATGGGACCTGAACTGTGGTCAGTCATGTGGGAGTCTAGCTCCTTCACCACCACCACCTGCTGGCCCCATTTTTTTTCTTTTTCTTTTTTTTTTGGTTTTGTTTTGTTTTTAAAGCAGTTTTTGCCTTAGGGCTCACCAGAGACTCATACAGAAGGAAAGTGTAAAATCACTCTGGAATAATGACCATGCTGCAATCCCTTCTTCTCCTCCTCCGTTCTCCTTTTGAGATCTTGGGCACACACACACACACACACACACACACACACACACACACACGCGCCCAGCATGATTTTCAGACCACTGGGTCTGTGACTAGACCATGGTCAGTCATGTGAGAGTTCTGTGATGTAACCATTATGCTATCTGTTGACCCCTCCCATCTTTAGAGGAATTATACTTGTTTATGTCTTTGTCTACCCTCAAAACATAAAATCACTAGCAGAAAGAAAGTTGTTGTTAAGATTTGTTAAAGATATTCTCTATAGCATCCATAATGTTGAAAAAGTGAGACTGTTAACTGGCAATAATCAGCAATTGAGAAAAATCTTATGTACTGACTAGTCAATTTAAAAGTATTTATTTCTGGGGCTGACCTCATAGATCAGTGGTTAAGGGATCTATATTCCACATGGCCAACCCTGGTTTTAATCCAGCCTGTGGAAACTTGAAAAAAAAAAAAACACCTGGTAGATATGTGTATGAGTCCCCAGAACTTCAACAGGATGGAGAAATGGAGAAAACAGATTAAGATGTGACCACATCCCGGTAGATGCTTCCCTTCCCTTTCTCTCATTTTTCTTTGGTAAGCATATGTGTTCTTTGACAATAAAAAAAATAAAAAGATAAGGGGCCAGGAGATACTATAGTGATTAAGGTGCTGGACTCCTACATGGCCCACCGTGATTAGAATCCTAGATCTGGCAGCTTGAAAATCATGCCATGCATATGCTCCTCTCCCAGAAGAATAGAGGAGAGGAGGGATTATGACTATCTCCCCTGGGGTTGATTTCTCACTTTATTGCTCATTGTTTTTCTTATCTCTGGTTAGCATACATGACCTATTGGCAAAAAAAAAAAAGGTAAAAAAAAAAGAAAAGAAAAAAAGATTTGCTATTTTTGCATAAATTGTAAGGGAATTATTATATTTAGTGAATTGCTATAATAATTATTTTATCATGGATATTCTTTTCATTTACAGATTTAAATTCAACCCAGTGTTCATATTCCATGTTTTCTGATGATTTGTTCTACATTTGAAATTTTGGCATTTATATATTAAGAAGACTTTATTTGGCATGAGGATAGTTTAATTTGTTTAAAAATATTTATTTTACTTTTTCTAAAGCTTATGATGCCAAATTCTGTTAAGGGAAATGTTAACACTTTGTTATTTCTGTGTAATAGAATGTTGATGTGAAAATCATTATATCCACATACAAAAGAAAGAAACCTATCTTCACATCTAGAAAATGGATGTTTAGAATAAATTGTTTGCCTTATAATCCAAATAGATTATAATAAGCTCTAGTTCCAACTGTTTATTCAACATAATATTTCTGTGTATTTTGTTATTTACATGTTTCTTGAAATTTTATAAAAAATTACATGAATGTAGAAAGCATTTGGAGACACAAACTAATAAGGCTATTTTTCATATTTATGGAGCCATAAATATTTTTATATGGTCTTTGTGTACATTCTTCTCATCATTGGATGTTGGTTATCATACTTTAAATTAGCATTTCCACCATAGCAACTTTTACGACATGAATTTTAGTAGCAATTTTGAATTTGTAAGGTTAGTTGCAGAAATTAAACTCTAGATGATAACCCATTATCTGAATAGTGGAATAATTGACAATATTTTTACCTTACATAGACAGTTACTCAATTTGGGGACCAGCAGTTAGCCTAATGGCTATGTCGCTGGACTCCCATATCGCTAACCATGGTTCATGTCCCGGACCCGGTGGCTTAAACTCACGCCGGGCGCATGTGCGTGTGGGTCCAAGATCCTGAGAGGAGATTGCAGCCTGGCCAGCCCCCCTAGGGGGTGAGTTCTTGCTTTCTGTCTCTCTGCCTCTCTCTGTCTTTCTGGTAAGCCCACACACCCTATAGCAAAAACCTCTCCAAAAAAAAAATTACTCAATTTGATAAAAAAGATACATGAATAATTTTTAATATACAAAATAGGTTTTGTTAAACTATGTTATTTTATTTTCAAAAGTCATGCATTGTAAGCCACTGTTTGGGGCCTAATTAACAATTAAATTCCAATGTATTAATGAAAACCCAATTTCATAATAAATTATAAAAATGTAAACATTTCTTAAATTGTCTCTGTACTGGGGTAAGAGAACGGAATCACAACTTAATGAAAGATTATTTCTATTTTCTGAATGAAAGATCTGTAACAATGAAGTGGATATAATAAAGTGGTATGTTGATAATATTTTGTTCTTTTTATTACTAATGTATTGTTTTGTGTAACAATTTTTTGGTGTATATTTTATTAGGCATTTAGATCTTTAAGGTTTGTGGGAGGTTTTGAAAGTTACTAATTATATTTAAGGTTTGTGGGGGGTTTTGAAAGTTACTATTTATGGTAAAGTCAGAGATGAAGTAGTTAAACTGAGATAGCAACAGTTAAAACTTACCTCTAATCTAAACAATTCCTTAGTTTATGAACCTTATATTCTGACAAAATTAATAGAAATAAACCTTCATGTGATTCCAGTATTAAATCTTCATACTGCTTTTTCCTATTTTGCCAAAATTTCACTTTTTAA